CGGGGACACGGGGACATGGGGACACGGGGACATGGGGACACGGGGACACGGGGACATGGGGACACGGGGACAGGGGGACAGGGCGGGTACAGGGGGCCAAGGGGTGCCAGGACAAGTGCCCGTTTGGGCAGGGGGTGCCCAGGTGTGCCCAGCTGTGCTGTGACATCTGTGTGCCCAGTGTCAGCGCCCCTGAGTGGGGACTCGGGCGAGCTCCCGGGTGGAGCCAGGGGAGTTCCTGTCCCTGTCCCCAGCAGCGTCCCTGTCGCTGTCCCCCAGCCATCTACCTGCTGTACGCGCAGCTGGAGGAGCAGTTCGGGCTGGCGCGCCGGGCCATGGCCGTGTACGAGCGCGGCACGCGGGCGGTGCCGCCGGCCCAGCAGCGCGACATGTTCCACATCTACATCCGGCGCGCCGCCGAGCTCTTCGGCGTCACCCACACGCGGCCCATCTACCAGAGAGCCATCGAGGTGGGCCTGGGGACACCTGGGGACACCTGGGGGGTGACGAGGGGAGCCCAGGGGGGTGGGGGCAGACAGGGGACTCGGGGGCTTCACATGGGTGCGCGGCTGGGGACACAGCAAGGGCTGGGGGGCACTGGGGGCACAGGCGGGCAGCGGAACCCCCGTGCCCCCCCAGGTGCTGGGGGATGACGCCGCGCGGGAGCTGTGCCTGCGATTCGCCGACATGGAGTGCAAGCTGGGAGAGGTGGATCGGGCCCGCGCCATCTACACCTACTGCTCGCAGATCTGCGACCCCCGGGTGAGCCTGGGCGCTGGGAGGGACTGGGGGGACCGGGGGCACCCCCTGCTCCCCGATCTGTGACCTTCGGCTGAGGTGGCACCTGGCCAGGAGTGTCCTCAGGGTGTCCCCAAGGCCACATGGGTGCTGTGGGATTGTCCCCAGGCCCATGTGGTGTCCCCAGGCAGTCCCCGTGTCCCTGTCCCCGTGTCCCTGTCCCTGTGTCCCTGACGCTGTCCCCGTGTCCCCGCAGATCACGGGCAGTTTCTGGCAGACGTGGAAGGAGTTTGAGATCCGGCACGGCAACGAGGACACGATCCGGGAGATGCTGCGCATCAAGCGCAGTGTGCAGGCCACCTACAACACCCAGGTCAACTTCATGGCCTCGCAGATGCTCAAGGTGTCCGGCAGCGCCACCGGCACAGGTGAGCCCGGGGGGGCACAGGTGAGCCCGGAGGGGCACAGGTGAGCCCGGGGGGGCACAGGTGAGCCCGGGGGGCACAGGTGAGCCTGGGGCACAGGTGAGCCTGGGGGCACAGGTGAGCCTGGGGGCACAGGTGAGCCCGGAGGGGCACAGGTGAGCCCGGGGGGCACAGGTGAGCCTGGGGCACAGGTGAGCCTGGGGCACAGGTGAGCCCGGGGGGGCACAGGTGAGCCTGGGGCACAGGTGAGCCTGGGGCACAGGTGAGCCCGGGGGCAGGAGGAGTGCAGGTGAGGAGGCTGGGAGCGAGGGGGGATGAGGAACACCTGGGGGTGCTGGGGGGTTCCTGGGGGGGCCGTGCCCCACTGAGCGCCGTGTCTGGGGCAGTGTCGGACCTGGCCCCGGGACAGAGCGGCCTGGACGAGATGAAGCTGCTGGAGCAGCGAGCCGAGGCGCTGGCGGCCGAGGCCCAGCGGGACACGCCCCGCCCCACCCAGCAGGTGCTGTTTGTCAGGTGAGTGACCCCGCCCTGCCGTGGCCACACCCCCGACCCCACCCACCTCTACCTGCCCCACCCACACTGGTGGGGGTCCCTGGGTGCTCATGGGGGGTGCAGGGCCGAGGCCCCCCCGGGGGCAGAGCCCTCCCTGTCCCAGCAGGGGAACCCCGAGGAGATCGACCTGGGCGAGGACGAGGGGGACGAGCCAGACGGTACTGGGGACACTGGGGGTGGGATTGAGGGGACAGCGGGGCTGGGATTGAGGGGACACTGGGGGTGGGATTGAGGGGACAGCGGGGCTGGGGAGGGGACCCTGGGGGGGGGATTGAGGGGACAGCGGGGCTGGGGAGGGGACACTGGGGGTGGGATTGAGGGGACAGCGGGGCTGGGATTGAGGGGGTGCCATGGGAGGAGGTGGGGGGTGAAAAGGGGGGGACACAGGGGGTGTGGGGTGTCCCCAGGGCATTGGGACAAAGAGGGGGATCTGTGGGTGGGGAGAGAGCAGGAGGAGCTGGGCAGGGACACACGGGGACAGCCCTGGCCTGGGGGGCCGTGGGGGTCCCACGGCAGTCCCGTGGCTCTGGGGGGGATGTGGGATGTGGCCAGCCCCACTCAGGGGTCCCTGACGCCCCTGTTCCCCCCAGAGGTGCAGTTGGAGCAGAAGCAGGTCCCAGCCTCGGTGTTCGGGGGGCTCAAGGACGACTGAGGCACCCCCCAATAAACCCCGTTTGTACAAGTATGGCTGCCCTGGTTCTCCCCCCTTTGGGTGCCCCCAGCCCCCTTCTGAGCCACAGGGACCCGGGGGGGGGGTCAGGGGGGACACTGTGACCTCTCCCGACCCAAATTCAGCTTTTATTGCTCGGGGGGGGTCCCCGAGGGGTCCGGGGGGATCTCGAGGGTGTCCAGGAGGCGCTGGGCAAAGGCTTGTTCGAGCTGGGGAGGGAGAAAAAGGGGCTGAACCCCCTCAATTCCTCCCAAATCCCTCTTCATGCCCCTAAATCCCCTCCCCACCCCCCAGAGCTCCCCCAGCCCCACATCTCACCTGCAATCCCCATTAAGGACGCCCCCATCCCCAGAGCCCCCCAACCACCCCCAAAACCTGCCCAACCATCCCTTCCCCCCACCTCCAGCAGCAGCCCCCCGCCCTGGGGGTCCCCGTCGGGGGGTCCCAGCTCCAGCGTCACCCGGTGTGGGGGGCGGGGGCCCAGCCCGGCCCGGTGCAGCTCCAGCTCTGGGGGGAAGGGCGAGGTCAGCCATGGGGGGGCTCGGGGGGATGTGGGGGGGCTGGGAGGGGTCAGGACTGGGGGAGAGTAGCAGGGATTTGGGAGACCCCTCCCACTCCAGGATTCAGGGGTCCCTCTCCCCCATCCCGTGACATTTGGGGTTCCCTCCCCACACCCGGGACTTGGCTCTGTCCCGCCCCCATCCATTTCCCCCCAGGATTTGGGGTCTGTGCCCTCCTTTCCCCCCATTATTTGGTGTCCCTCTCCCCCCCGTTATTTTGGTTTCTCCCCCCATATTTTGATGTCTCCCCCACCCCCTCTATTTTGGCCTCTCCCGCCACCCCTCCCCTGATATTTTGGTCTCT